TGTTAAAATATATAAAAATATTTCTATGAATCAGATATCCGAAAATATTATTTGAATATATTGCAAGTTGTCTAAATAATATCACAGCTGTTATTTTTCTCCTACATTCCACCATTATTGGGCTGCCCTCGCATTTGAGTGCAGCCCTGGCAATGCAATTAGAACGGTTGAACTCACCTGGTTGGCACTGACACTCGCCATTGGCCGCGGAGCTGCCTCCGAGGCTCGCTGCTGCTGCTGCGGCAGCCGCTTCGGCCGCCTGCCGGCGCTGCTGACGTCGCGTCAGCTGCAGGTGGGAGACGTCGCGACGCAGACGATGTAGCTCGCGGCGCACATGTAACACCAGGTGCGAAGATGTGCCATTATTGCTGTTGCTGCTGCTGTCGCTGTTGCTGCTACTGAGGGGGCTGGAAATGATTTGGGGCTGGTCGGCGGGCCAGTGCAGCAGTTGCTGCTGCTCCAGGCGCAGCTCCAGCTCGACGATGCGTGCGTCCAGCTCCTGCAGGCGCTGCATTCGCTGCTCGACACGCGTCTGTCGCACATTCGCATAGAGCGCAAAGCTGAACGCACACAGGCACAGCACATAGCTGGCGATGTGCAGCAAGGACATGAGCTGGACTGTATATCGCGGCCGTTCCTTGCCGTTGGCTGCCCGAACTGTTGCAGATCGCTGCTGATAGGTGGCCGCTGGTGTTGCAAGGCGACTAGTTGTGCTTGTTGCAGCAGCTGTTGCTGCTGTTGCTCCTGCTGCTGCTGCTGCTGCTGGCGTAGCGCTGTCAACAGCTGCATGGCCAAGCAACATTCGCTGCTGCTCCATATCGAGTGCTGCTGCTGCTGTTGCTGTTGTGGTTGTTGTTGCTGCTGTTGCTGTTGCTGTCGTGCCTGCTGCGTTGGTGTCGTTGTGCACTGTTGGCATTGTCCTTGTCACGGAACTGGGACTGGAATTGGAATTAGAACTGATTGGGTGGCCGCCGGGCGGCGCTTTATGTTTGCGCATGCTGCGATTGAAGACTGTCTGTTGTCTGTTTTAAGCTAATGCCAGAGACGTTGCTGCTGCTGACTGTAGATGTTGTTGCTGCTGCTGCTGCTGCTGCTGCTGCTGGTTGGACTATGCTTAAGTGTGTTGGCGGCACTTGAAGTGTCCTTGTCGCATCACAAAAACACATGTGCTGCACTATGCCAGCTGCTCCTTTCTTTTCTGCTGTCGAGTGTTTGGCTATGTCCTTGCCGATGCTCTATTCCGTTGCGCTATTTGGGCAGCACATAGTGCCTGTAATGCCCCGACTGTTGTTGTTGTTGCTGTTGTTGTTGGTATTGACGCTGATGTTGCCACGGCATGCGAGCCGCATACAAAAGCTACGCGGCCATCGACTGTGTGGCTGCGTGGGTGGTCTCTGTGCGCCTCCTGCTTTCTTGGCTTTTGGGGCAACAACAACAAGACGAGAAAATAAAATGTCGTAAGCTGCAAAGCAAAACAAAAAGTAGCTGCGTACTTTTGGGCGCTGCTGCCACTTGTGCCACTTGTCAAACTCTCGCCGTGGCTGCTTTTGTTTTTGTGTTGTCAATCGTCACAGCAGCTGCTACTCCTGCTAGCTACTGGCTCGGCTCCTTGACAACTTTTCTGACAGCGCTCAGCGAGTTTGTGCTCTTCACGTTTTTTGCTTCTCCTTGGGCTACCGCGCAGTTTTCACTTGTCCCACGAGCGCTCTTCACATTGCAACTTATTTAGTTCTTCAGCTCTTGGCACTGCAACAAACTGGAGAGCAAAGTGAAAAAGTCAGAAAATAGTGGGAAAGATGGCAAAAAAGAAAAATATAAGAAACAAAAAAAAAAGAAAATTTGTCAGTGAAAAATGCGGGGCGGAAAAAGTTTACAAAAAAGTTACTAGCAAATCGGCGCAGGCGTTTGCCGCATTGGCCATGCTTGAATTATGGCAACTGGACCCAGTCGACACATTTTCAATAATCAACCAGGCAACGTTGCCAGGACGACATCCTAGCTGTGACGCGTCCTGGCGTTAACTTCGTTTTAAGTTCAGCCAGCCGTGTTTAGCGGCGAGCAACTTGAGCCAGCTCAACTTGTTCCCAAACTTTTGCACAGTAACTGAAAAAAAAAACAACAAATACAAAAAGTACCCACAACATTGAGTGGGCGAAAGAGGGCAAAGGGGCGAAGAGCGCGAAGAGGGCGTGGGGGCACTAAAAGTATTTGACCCACAGAGTTGGCGTGTCAAAAACATTTGTAGCCTACCACTGCAGAAAGTCTCCGGCGGACTGGGCTGGCCTGAGACGCTTTTCAGCGGAACGCCACTTGTACTCCCAGCAAACAGACAGCAGACAACAAACGGCAGAAGGCAGACGGCAGACGGCGGACAATATAAAAACCATAAAACAGAATTATTGTCATGTTGGGAAATTTAAGAGCAGCCTAACTTGAATTTGCTACGAATAAATAAGTTTTCAAGAATGAATCAATTATTCAAGCATCTGAGTGATGGTGTGAAAGACAGTTTCCTGAGTTACATTTCCAGAAAGATGGGCTAATGTTTAATGTAGACCAAAAAGCAGGAAGTCTTGTTGAATATATATTTTTTATTTATTTATTTTTTTTTTTAAGTGCTCATGAACAGCAAAGAAAAGAAAACCAAGCAAATGCTGCATCAATGCAAATTTAGTTATTTTATTTTACTTATATTTAATTATTTTCTGCCTTAATAAAAAATCTTTAAAGAACCGCACAATTTATCTCAGTTTTAGCTAATGAGAGCTGCCATAGATAAAAAATTTCTTAATTAATTAAATTAAGAAAAAAAGTTCTATTAAATATATTTATTTACAGTCGATTGCGTCTGATAACGCTATCTTCTGTTGCTTTGTGTTTCTTTTTATATACAAAAGAAAAAAGGTTGAGTAAAAAAAAATAAATGAAAAAGTGCTATTCAAGTATTATGTGCGCATCATAATGGATTATACAATACGTGCTTTGAATGTGTGTGTGTGTGTGTGTGTGTGTGTGTGTGTGTGTGTGTGTGTGTGTGTGTGTGTGTGTGTGTGTGTGTGTGTGAGTGTGTGTGTGTGTGTGTGTGAGTGTGCGTGTATATTGCGCAATCATGTGGCAACCACAACAAGAGCCAGCAGTAAGACAGAGGCTGAACCGCTCATAAAACTCAAAAACAATCGTATGAAAAGCGCACCACAGTACGCGCCACAGCAACCACAATACAAAAATTGAGCATAAAAGTCAAAAGGCCAATTTCGATGAGCAGTGAGCCACAACAACAACAACAACAACAACAATGCGAGCAATAAGCAGCTTATGAAGCAAGAAGCAACGGGTGCAAGTCAATGGAATGTTTGGTACACCCTAATAAAACTAATTGAAAGTCTTGTGCGCTGTGGGGCCAATAATAATGCCAATAACAACGGACAGCAGTTACAACAACAACAGCAAGCTTTTAATTTAACAAATAACAGCGAGCCAATCCAACAAAACAGACAGACAGTCGGATAGACCGACAGACAATTGGCCAGTGAAAAGTCAGAGAATTGACCCGAATGGGCATTGCTTTTGCGCTGACTCTGCAATCCCATGAGGGGCACGGAGGGGGACGGAGGGGGACGGAGGGGGACGTAGGGACAGACATAGCAAGTACGCGCATATATGTATGTCTTTGTGGCCGCTGTCAGCTGGAGGTTAATGCTTTCTGATGCTAACTCAATATAAATAAATTGATTTCAAATTTCAACAGTTTGGCGCGCAGCTTTTGTCAATTACATGGATCTGAAGCAGCCCGGCGGGGCTTTGCCCCAAAAAGTATGCTATGAATTTTTGTGCGCTTAAATTCAATTATGTGTGTCGGTCATGAGTGAGCGAGCAAGCGAACAAGTGTGTGTGTGTGTGCGTGTGTGTGGGTGTGGGTGCGTGGGTGTGTATGTAAGCAAACGCTGCTTAGCAAGCGTACACACACTCAAACATTTAGATATATATAGAGATATCTCTGTGTGTGTGCGTGGGTGTGTGTGTGCTCAAGGGTAATGTGTGTCCAGCTGGCAATTGAAAAATTTGATTTCGAATTGAAATGCAAATCAAGCAAAAATAGAAAGGCATTAGTTGGACGAGGGCCACTGGACAAGCCAATCCTAGCAGGAGAGTCCGGCTCAGCTAACTGGGCGCACAATGCTCAATAAAATGTGGCACGTGTGTGTGCGTATGTGTGGGAGTGAATCCACAAGCTGAAACCTAAACATAGCTAAGGGGCGTCAAGGGCTGTGAAAAGCTCAATTGCAATGCATTCAAAGGATTATTGTCCTTATTTATTTTGCTAAATTTATTCGTTACGCACAAATGCGCAAAGCAAAACACAAACACGCACACACACGCACACAGACACCTAGACATTGCCTAGGCAATTGGCAAACTGAAGAAAATGAAAACATGAAAAGGAACACAGCACACACATACATATACAACAGCAGGGCAAAATCAAAGCAAATAAACAATAAAAATAATCGGGCCGTTAGCAACACATGCGCATTCTTCACCATCATCATCAACAGCAGCAACAACAACAACAACAACAACAGCTGATTGCTCATAGAGCAAGTAGCAGCGCCCAGGAGCAGCAGTTGACGCCTCAACAACCACCGGTCACATCACACACACACACACACACACACACATATATATATATATTGCCAGCATTATTGCTGCCACTACACACGAACAACAGCAACAACAATCATCAACAACAGCCAACATCTTTGGGGCTGCTAAGTCGCCCCAGCCCTGGGGCCTTAGGTGCTGTTCGGGGTAATAAATAGTTGTCGTGTCATATGAAAAATGCAAGCAGTGTTTAAGTTTTTCTTGGCAGCCAGTTCCGGAAACATTGCCGCAGCTATACCCTCCCCCCCCCCTTCCCCTCACTCCCAGCAGGCTGTGGCTGTGCCACTTCCCAGCTCTACAGCTATTATATATGTGTATATTTCCACTCCACTCTCCACTTTTTGCTGCTTCATCGGCGAAATTGAAAAACGTTGGCCAAAGTCGAAGAAGAGAAATGTAAATGCTTGACAGGCCAAAGGAAATCCAAACGAAGGCTTTGCCCTCATATCATTCACAGACCAGGTTGCTAAGGATGTGACAAGCAAATGCTATATCATTCAATCTATCGTCAATTTCAATGCCTGTACAGTGTGCACTAGAAATGTAAGCCAAATAATAGTTACATAAATAACGGAACAAGTAAACAATTCTAAGATTTCGAGTCAAGTGTTTCAGGACAATGTAATAAAAACCCAAGCAAGCGTCTTAAATTTCCAGAAAAGCAAATTTTTTGCAACTTTATCATTTTATGCGTAAGTGATGTGATTCTGTGTCGTTCGTCCAAGCTCGGCTTTCGTTGCGGCATGTCTCCAACACACACACACACACACTCTCACACAGACGGTGGCTGTGTTGTTGTTTATGTTCTGGCCATTTCCTTATAATTTTTACAGCTTGTTTTGCTGCGGCTGCCGAAGATGCTGTGTGTGTGTGTGGATGTTGTGGATGCTGTGTATGCGGGACTTTACCAGTTTTTTTTTATGTCTTGACTACATACACTAGTACAAACTATTAGTGCTATTCATTGTTGTAATCGTCTGTTGGGTCTTTGTAGTTTTATGTGCGCTGTTTTACAACACTGTCGCACGCCCACTCTCGGAACAACGGCATCCGGCACAACTTGCCCCTGGGAGAAATTACTTAATTTCGGAATTTCAATTTAGCACTTAAGACTCCAAAACATGGCGTTGCCGTCAAGGATAGGAAGTGGGCGTGGCATTCACACACTAGCCCACCTACGTACATGCAGCAACAATGAAGAGTGTATGTCTGTACGTGTCTGTGTGTGTGCGTGTGTGTAAGCCTGTGTAAAAATCCAACTTACACATGTTGTGACTTTGAAAAATTTCCGGAATTTTTGGCACGCAATGTTTGCTTTTGTTTACTGGCTACCAACTCGATGCTTCGATGCTTCGATGCTCCAATGCTTCGATGCCTGTCATGCAGCCAGACGCAGCGTCTACTCCTCGATTCTTACCTCCCTCTGCCCCTTCTCTCTCGCTCACTCTATATCCCTCTCTAGTGCACATATTGTACACTTTACAGCCAGCAGAGCGGCAAACTATGGCTGAGGGGTAAGCAGCACATCTCATATATATATAAGTTGTTGCTGCTGCAAGGAATTGCAACTGCGGCAACAACAACAGCAAATCCTAATATAAGTCTCAGTATCAATATCTATGCACTGACGAAGCATATTGACAACTCTGCAATCTAAGAAAGCTGAATAGTTGATATCGTAACTAAAAATGCACTTAATATTATATAAATAACTCGAAGAGAATAGATATCATAGATGCAGCCAGAACCAGATTTTTGTGCATTGGCAAAAGTTTACAAACAGCTAACAGAGTATTGCGTAGTCAGTCAGACCACAACAGCAATGCTCCATGGGTTTTTTAATTCGAAATGCATTTAAAAAAGGCAAAGCTAGAAAAATAAATTGAAATTATTATTAAGTAGTATAAGCTATATTGGCATGATAAGAAAACGAAACTAACGAAACAAATTCTGAGAATTGAGATTTTTAGTTACAAAGCAATACAAAATATTAAGCCAAAAGATGGCAGAGTAATACAAATAAATTGAATTATTATTAAATAGTATTTTGGCATGATAAGAATTCGACGCAACTAATTTTTAAAATGGAGATTT